ACACACACACACACACACTCAAGAACATAATTACAATATAAGGTGAAAAATATAAATAACTAACTTAAGACAAAAAACAAAAACTATTTCCTCTTTTTTCGTTATATTTTCTTTTAAAGCCATACGCAACACAGAGGAAATTGTGCAATAATTACCTATTTTTAATTGTTTTTTTTTTCCCTAATATTAATATTTCTACGTGTGACATTGTTTTTGTACTTCTTGATTACTGCATAATTCTTGGGGGGTTGTAGCAGACTCCAGCACTCATACGGAGCAAAACAACCGTATTTTCGTTGAATGACTCGAAAGAAAAGGTCAGTGTTGGCTCAGATTAAACAGTAATAAATAAAGTTACTCACTTTCTCCGCACGCTTGATGGCAGCTCATCAGGACGCAGCAGACTGCGGCCAAAACAAAACACAAAGTCCGGAGCCACATCGTTGACACCATCCACCGCTCCACTCCCGGCTAAAATAACACAACAATCCCGGGCGAGGAGGACGGTTCAAGCTGCGACAGATACACGCTCAGGAAACTGGGTTTGTTTTACGGCGCGGGCCAACAGGTAAACAAAAACAAATAAAAGACATCCCGGAAGATGGGCGGAGGAAACGTGTCCAACGTGTTCACTCAAACACAAGCTAATGATGGCTAACGTTAGCCACTTCGCGGAAAAAACCTCCACTACCTCACATCAGCAAGAACATAAGCTCCCTCATGAGCGCCCTTACAGTTTCTTAAACGTGTTTTCTTAATAAAAGGATCCTGTTTGAGTTCACAAATATACGCAAAAATTAAAAAAAGCAGACTTGTTGGCTTAGCTGAAGCACTAGCGTTAATGTTAGCTCTGAAGCTAACCTGGCTAACCCCACTTCGGTCCAGGCCACAAGTGAAGTTTGCGCAGCTTTTCACCAACCTTTACAGTAAACATTAAGAAGTGCCGCCCACAACCCGTTCAGCAGCAGCCAAAAAATTTTTTTTTCAAAAATTGTAAATATGCATGAGTGAAAATGTCAATAAAAAAGGGATCTTTAATAAAAGAATTCAGATTTTTGAAGCTGCTGACTCGATGTTTGCGTGGCGTAGCGTTCGCGTGTCTTTCGTAAAAAACAAAATTCTCAAGCCCTCCAAAGAATCCGAGCAGAAAACAAAAGTTTTTCTTTTCTTTTTCAACTTGAAGAAAAGTTGTTTTTTCTGGGTCAGCTTGAGAAGTCGTCTTCAGACCTGGCAGAGATTTCACTCTGTAAATAAGCTGACAGGCAGACTTCGTTGCGGCTCAGAAGCTCTCCTCTCTCCTGTTTTCATATTTGGGAGTTAAAAATGAAGAAAAGGAAAAAAAAAAAGTCGCCGCGTTTGTGTTCAGGCTCTGCACGGCTGTCTGCGGCGACGATTAAATGTGCATTAAAATAAAAATAAAAAAATCTGTTTATTTCTTTCTTTTTCTCCACACACAGAGGTAGATTGTAGAGTCTCCCAGCTCTTGTAGGATCCCCCTTCTTCCCAGGCTCTTCGCCAGTAAACAAACCCTGCCAGCAGCCACATGGGCTCCAGGGGAAAACCGGACTGGATCTGGACCTGCGCACCGAATCCAGAGTCGTTTTTATGGCAAAGAGGTAATCAGGTTTATTTAGGAACGAACTGCACGCACTTGAGATATATTCGGATTACAACGAAAAATGTAAAGATTATGGTTGTAATGACTTATAATTATTTATAATCTGGGATCTCAATGGAATTTGTCTGGTTAAAGGTTGATTTAAATGAGAGGAGAAAATACTGAGTGCTGACTGACTTTCCTGAAGGAGATCAATTTTACATATTAAGTTAAAGTAAAAAAAAAAACATAAGCCAAATGTCTCGATGCATCTCAGTAATTCAGGTAAAAAATCAAAAGGAAAAAATTTGTATAGGTCTTCTGGACGGGTTCTTCTCTAATGAAACGTTTCGTCTCTCTTCCAAGAGACTTCTTCAGTCTGAGAGTTTCAGGCAAAATTCAGGCTTTTGAGTCCTGCCTCCAGGTGACTGATACTCACATCACATGGCTATCGTTCACACCTAATTAATACCTATTGTTAACATGCAACCTTCAGGTGAAAATGAAGACCCCAAACCCAGACCCAAACCAGTGGTTATTCCGTATGTTGCGGGTGTTTCGGAGAAACTGAGACTTTTATTTTCTAAACATGATGTCCCAGTGGCTTTCAAACCCCAAAACACATTACGGCAAAGGCTGGTTCACCCCAAAGATCCGGTGCCCCGGCACAAACAGAGCAATGTTGTATATGCTGTTAAGTGCCAGGAGGACTGCGACCAGTTATACATCGGGGAAACAAAGCAGCCACTGTTCAAAAGAATGTCCCAACACAGACGAGCTACATCTAATGGCCAGAACTCTGCAGTTTTCACTCATTTACAGGCCAGCGGTCACTCTTTCAGAGATGAGGATGTTCTCATTCTTGATAGAGAGGAACGTTGGTCTGAGAGAGGAGTAAAAGAAGCCATTTTTGTGAAGAAAGACCGTCCATCATTAAACAGAGGTGGAGGCCTCCGTTTTCAGTTGTCCCCCTCCTACAGCGCTGCTATTGCCAGTATCACTCCACCCCCTGTTAACAATAGGTATTAATTAGGTGTGAACGATAGCCATGTGATGTGAGTATCAGTCACATGGAGGCGGGGCTTAAAAACCTGAATTTTGCCTGAAACTCTCAGACTGAAGAAGTCTCTTGGAGGAGAGACGAAACGTTTCATTAAAGAAGAATCCGTCCAGAAGACCTATACAATTTTTTTTCCTTTTTATAAGCCAAAGGCTAAAATGACAAAATATCAAATGCTAAAATTAAGGAAAAACAGTAGCTTAAAGCTGAATGTTGCTAAATAAGTTATAAAAAGTAAATGTAGCTCAATCTTGTATGTAACGGAACTGTAGCCAAAAGCTACAATGAGCTAAATTCTAGCTAAAAGCTAAAATTAGCAAGACGGTAGCTAAAAGCTAAAAGGGTCATAAGCGGACACAGAGAAAAGTTCTCAATTTTGTATAGGGAAAGTTTTGTTAAAGTTAAATAATTCAGAAAGTATATAAGCTACAAAAACTAGAACACTTATAGTAAGTGACCCGTACAGCCACAGACATGCAGTTACTATAAAAATAAAGCATGTTAACATACAATATTTATGGATTTATTGCCAACAAATGTAACATGAGTACATACTGCTCATAAGCTGTTATCATTAAATGAAGCAGTGTATTTGTGTAATTAAATGCATACAAATGTCCTTTAAAATTTAAGTCCATTTAATTTGTGTGAAGTGGTGGTTTATAAAAGTCAGTTTTTCTTTGTATAATTTCTTTGCAAGTCTTTAAAACCACATAACTATTAATTGTATAGAAAAATAGTTGGGTATTAATTAAAGATTCTGTGCATTTGATGTTATTACAGGATAACAACAATGGCCATAAAAATAGCATAGAGAGGTTTTGTAAGTGCGGCATTTTGTCCAGTTCTGAGCGCACAAGTTGCATCTTCAGTCTTCACGTGTGAATACGGTTAAACCACAAACTTCAAAGTTTTGGTATCTTTCCTAAATGTTTTAATTAAGTCACTATCTTCCTTCCCGTGCCAGTAACAGGAGAGCATCCTCTATTTGCATCCTGGACGAATCTAGTTGGTTTTTCCTGAATCTGGAGTTATTTTTAGGAAACTGGAGGCACAAGATGAGGAAGGAAAACTTTATACACAAACCAAGCATTGTTTAGAAGCAGAACTTGATTGTCCTTTTGATCCTCGGCCCGTTCTCACACTCGGACGGACAGAGTGAGTGACGGTAAAACATGGGGATTACGTGTTTCACACTCTTTTCTCCGCTGAGCTCCCAGAGGCTGAAAATACCCAAGTGCATCCTTCCTGGTGTATTTTTGTGCCAAAAAGCCATTTCCACTTCTGCTCTTAATTCTGTTCACATCCTCCGTCAAAGCAGAAAGGACGTTTGATGCGAGATAATCACGTCTTGTTGTTTACTGACCCAAAATAGTAGAGATTTGTCTGCAAAATGAAATGGATAAAAATTTCCTTTACTGTTTGCTGTTAACACACGGATTCGGTTGGAATTGTGCGTTTTATCTTCCACAGGGGAAATTATAACAAAAACACTGAAGTGATTGCGATAAAACCAAAAGCACCGGGGTCAGGAGGTCATACCTGAGAGAAACATTGTTAAAACTGTAAGAATTAACATATACAGTGGGTAAAATAAGTATTGAACACGTCACCATTTTTCTCAGTAAATATATTACTAGAGGTGCTAATGACATGAAATTTTCACCAGATGTCGGTAACAACCCAAGTGATCCATACATACAAAGAAATCAAACCATAAATGTCCAGAAATGAAGTTTGTAATAATGTGGAATGGCACAGGGAAAAAGTATTGAACACATGAAGAAAGGGAGGTGTAAAAAGGCATGGAAAGCCAAGACACCAGCTGAACTCTCTCAGTAATTAGAAAGCAAGCCTGCCCCTTGTCAGTGCAAATTAATATCAGCTGGTTCAGTCCCAAATGATGYCCAGGTATCACACAAGAACCATCTGATGATGGGTAAAAGTAAAGAMCTCTCTCAAGACCTTCACAACCTTATTGTTGCAAAGCATAATGATGGCATCGGTTACAGAAGAATGTCTAAACTTCTAAAGGTTCCAGTGAGCACTGTTGGGGCCATAATTCAGAAGTGGAAAGAACATTATTTCACCATAAACCGACCACGACCAGGTGCTCCTCGCAAGATTTCTGACAGAGGAGTGAAAAGAATTATCAGAAGAGTTGTCCAAGAGCCAAGGACCACTTGTGGAGAGCTTCAGAAAGACCTGGAATTAGCAGGTACGTTTGTTTCAAAGAAAACAATAAGTAATGCACTGAACCACCATGGCCTGTATGCATGCTCACCACGCAAGACTCCACTGCTGAAGAAACAGCATGTTGAAGCTCCTTTAAAGTTTGCTGCACAACGTTTAGACAAGCCTGTGAAATACTGGGAGAATATAGTCTGGTCAGATGAGACCAACATTGAACTGTTTGGATGCCAGAATACACATCATGTTTGGAGGTCAAATGGCACTGCACATCAGCCCAAAAACACCATACCAACAGTGAAGTTTGGAGGTGGGAACATCATGGTGTGGGGCTGTTTTTCAGCATATGGTACTGGCAAACTTCAAATAAATGAAGGAAGGATGAGTGGAAAAATGTACAGAGACATTCTTGATAAAAATCTGCTTCCATCTACCAGGATGATGAAGATGAAATGTGGCTGGACATTTCAGCAAGACAATGAGCCCAAATACAAAGCCAAGGAAACTCTCAGTTGGTTTCAGAGAAAGAAACTAAAGCTGCTGGAATGGCCCAGCCAATCACCTGACCTGAATCCAACAGAAAATCTATGGAAAGAACTAAAGATCAGAGTTCATAGAAGAGGTCCACGAAACCTTCAAGATTTGAAGACTGTTTGTGGAAGAATGGGCCAAAATCACACCTGAGCAATGCATGCCACTAGTTTCTCCATACAGGAGGCGTCTTGAAGCTGTCATTGACAACAAAGGCTTTTGTACAAAGTATTAGATAAATTTCAGTAAGTGTGTTCAATACTTTTTCCCTGTGCCATTCCACATTATTACAAATAATTTTATTTTATGTCATGGAGGCAGCAGGTTTAGGTGGGAAACAGACATCCCTCCTTCCAGGGATTCTCTCCAACTCCTCCTTGAGGGATTTCAAGGCGTTTATACCATTTATTTGACTATCTTTATTACTTTTGCCGGACCGATTGTAAAGATGGCTGTATTTTCTAACGGCCTCGTCCAGCCGCTCCTCAGCGAGCATTGTAGTTCGCTCACTGTTCCGCATCAACACGCCCGCAAATTTCTGACCAATCACACCATACTTGGTGCATACACCTGTGAGAAAAAATTTCTGCCTTGAGCTTGGGCACAGAACAGGTTCGAGGAGGCCATGCAAGAACAAAAGAACGTAACTTTTATCACACAACTACGTCAATAAAAACAATTATCTTATAATATTTCAGGGTATAAATAAAGCTTAACCCTTGTAGCACATTAGGGTACCAAATGTGTACATTGTGCTAATTTGTTACTTTTCATTGTAACAAATATCAATTTAAAAACTATTAAACTTGGCCAGGATTTGTTTTATAGTATAATTTTCAAAATTTCACGGCCCCCCTCTATTGTAAGATGTATAGAAAAGGAGATTCATTCTGATAGTACACTCTTTACCCTAAGGCCCAGTTTGGTCCCATTGACTCTCATTATAACCACATATTTTTGATGCACTGTAATCCTAATATAATATAAAACTTTTTTCACAAATACTTTATAAATCGAAACCACTGCTTTCAAAATAAAGGGAAAACAGGTTCTAGGTGGGATGACCCCCACCCTCCCAACCCCCCAGGGGCTTCAGTCCTTTATTACATAGAGTTTTATTGGAGGCCTGTTTTCCTTATATT